CCAACCCTCCAGAACCTTCAGCCTCAATGCCTAAGACTGCGGCGCGATGACGCACTCGATGTTGGGCGAGGTCATGATCCACTGGTTGCCGTTGCTGAAGTGCAGCTCGTGCGGGCACGGGCGGGTGGGCATGGTCCACGCGTACAGCACGTGCACCGTCTCGCCGCGGTACATCTGGATGTTCCCAAGGGGCCCGCGGTTCATCATCAGGTCGCAGTACCCCGGCAGGTCCGGCACCGGCCCGAAGATCTCGCCCGTCTGGTACTTCGTGGGGTTTTTGGCGGGGTTCTTGAGAATGCCCTGCCACACATTGCCGAAGTCCTGGCACTAGAAGACGCGCAGCGGGCTGGTGACGTTGAAGGCGCAGCCGTTGTAGAAGGTCATGTTGAAAATGTAGTTGTGCAGGTCGTACGGCCCCAGGTACTGCGACTTTATCACCACCGTCGTGCGCCCGCACGCTGAGAGGAGGTGGGGGGGGGAGGGAGAGAGGGGAGGGGCGGGCGGGGGAAGAGTGGTTTCAGAGGGGACTTGACCAGTGTAGTGTGCCGGCATGCTGAATTAAGAAGTTGGGGAGGGGAGGACGGAGGGGGAGGGGGAGGGGGAGGGGGAGGGGGAGGGGGGAAGAGTGGTTTCAGAGGGGACTTGATCACCACGGTCAAGCGCCCACAGACTGAAAGGAGGAAGTGGGGGAGGGAGGAGGAAGAGGAGGTGGGTTTCATACCAGCAATCAGGGGAGATGCGAGAGGAAGCATAAAAAAGCAGCAGCTCAAAAAGTTTCAGGGCAGAATCACAGACCAGGCAGCGAAGTACTAGCGAGACAAGTCAGCCAGAAAGGGGGGGCGGGGAGGGGAGGGTGGGAGGAAGACTCACTGGTGGCGAGGGCCTTGCGGCGGGGGATGTGGTCGAGGTAGTCCGGCAGCTCCTGGTCGTGAGAGTAGGTCTCCGCAGCCAGAATCCGCGGGCCCGCCGTCTTCACTCCGAGGTCCCTCCCGGCATGGGCAGGAGCGGCCAGCAGACACACCGCCAGCGCGGCCAGCAGCAGCAGACGAGCAGCGAGAGGAGCCATTGGAAACGGAGGCGAAAACGGAGGAGAAGCAGAGGAGAGGCCGAGGGAAGGGTGGAGGAAAGCCCACAATGAGACCTCGGAGGTGGGTGCTTGAAACTGTGATGAAAGCCATGGGGACTTGGCTCCTTTTTATACGATGCTCCCTGCTAGCTCGTTGCCTTGTTGCCTTGTTGCCTGGTTTTCAGCCACCAGCCGACCATGCCTTCCCTCCTCGAGACGCGTTCGCATGCTGACCCACACGCTGCCATGCTGACAAGGCATGACAGAGCCGATGTCGGATTGGCCAGAAGTGGCGGCGCGTCATAGCGCTTCCAAGACAACGAGTGAGGTAGTTACTATGTCTGGCTGTGACCTTGTCTCAGCTTGGAGGCTGGTGCATCCGGGCAACCATAATCCGTTCGCCGCGAAGCAGGTGGTTACCAAGTCCGACCTTGTCCGGATTTCCCTCGGCTCGAAGGCTGGTGCATCCCGCCTAACCATAATCCGTGCGCCGCGAACGAGGTAGTTAGCATGTCCGGATTTGCAATCGTCGCTGGCTGTTGACAGGGAAAACTTGGTTGACTCAACGAGATCGCCGCTCCAAGTATCGTTGACACATGCCGTAATGGCACATGCCCGTTTTGCCACATGGCCGGTATGGAACATGAGTTTGGTGGTGCTCGATTGCGTAGTTTACCGGTGTTTCATCCGCGTCTCATCCAGCGATTCCTGGCTCGCCCTTCTATAACGCGTACGCCGTGGAATTATCGCACTAGTAGCGTAGCCGGGAAAGCAGTCGTACGTAACTGGGGAAGGCAGTTATAAGTTTCACACGTAAGGAGGCGTCTTTGATCGGATGAAGCGATAGGGAATCCGTGTCGAAAAGGGGATCCCAAGGGGATCCGCGCCGCATGTCGTTCAACCGCACCGACAGCCCGACTCGAGGCGTCAGCACCAGACTCGTTATCCGGATTTCGCCAACATCGGCCCGTCAATCAGTTAGAAACACCGAGCCGATGCGTGCGGTGCGAGGCATACAACGGTACCTTCGAGCCGACGGTGCGAGGTACACCACGGAACGGAACCTACCGCGACGAAGCCACTAGTACTGACTGGTCTGACACGCACTGGATCGAACCTAGGAATACCTGCCACGTAAGACCTACAGATCCAACTGTATCTCGGACAGACGGACAGGATGCATGCGAAAATATGTACACTGCAGTCGCAGCGAGCCGGTTTCGGAGCACGATTGCTGGGCGAGGGGCGGCGCGGGCGAGGCACTGCAGCTGCGGCGATTGGGCTTCCATACACACAACGGATGACCAAGGAGAAAACGGATGGAGGATACTTTACTGTACAGTACCGTGAACCTGGGGATTACTCGGAGGCAGGAGTGATGGGTAGGAGGAGCGAGATGAGAGCAGAAAGCTGATGGAGAAGACTCCAAGACGAGCGAGGGGTGATACAGTAGTAGAGGCATTGGGAATGCCGCGCTGTTGAGAGTGCAGGTGTGGGGAAGATTGAGGGTTTGCCGGGCGGTTGGGTGCAGTGCAGAGGAGAGAATGCGGAAAAGGGGAGGTTTTGGCAGCTTCACTTATCCTCTTCTAGAACAGAGCCCGTTCTATATAGAGGCTGTTTAATGAGACTTAATTCATGCAGGGCACAAGCAAAGCAACTTCATTATTGACTTAGGCAAGCAACTTGAAAACACGATGCATGCTCCCTGAACGCCGCCTCCTTGCGAACACCGGTAAAATCTGTAGGAAACAAGTGTTATGAATTTGACTTGAATAAGGGTGGAAGTCAAAATAGTGAGTGCTACATTTATAAGAAGTTTATCGTCTTATAGGGCTTGACCAGGAGTTCGTGAGAGCGATCTAGGGTTCGCTTTGGAGATACTCATACCCGCTATACAAAACAGAACTAGGCAACACTGTTAAAATTATATAAGTTATAATTTAATATAGGCTTGGTAGGTTGTTACTGAACCTTTCTGTAGAGGGTACAAACCCCTTCTTGTACTCCTCTCTCTTCCTAATCAAACCACCTTTTCTTCTCAACATTCTCTCCCTTCCTAGATCCGTTTTCCTCACGCTATTCCATGGCGGCCTTCCTCCTAGTATCCTAGCCAACCTAGCCTCCTAAGTTTAAGAACCTTGAGTCCTAAGTTTCTAAGATGGTATCAGAGCAGGAGATCCTCCCTGCTGGACCGCCTCCTCACGCTTCCGCCATTTACTCCTCACCCTCATTCGCTCGAGCGGCCATGGCGGCCGCGTTTTGCTGCAGTGGCGACGTCGCGCTGCCACTGGCCGCGTCGTGCCGCGACCGGCTCCTTGTTGCCTGCCGTCGCGGCACCAAGCTGTCGCGACGGCCCCTTGTTGCCTGCCGTCGCGGCGCCAGGATGTCGCGACGGCCCCTTGTTGCCTGCCGTCGCGGCACCAAGATGTCGCGACGGTCCCTCGTTGCCTACCGTCGCGGCGCCAAGGTGTCGCGACGGCTCCTTGGTGCAGCCGTCGCCCGTCCGCCTCGCCGCTGCGACATTGACGGTGCGCTGTGGCGGCGTCTGCGGCAGCCGACGGCATCGTCGGGCTGCGGCCGGCCGAGCGACGTCTGTGGCGTCGCCGGGCCTGCCGCCCGCTCGCCACAGACGGGCGTCCCTCAGGACGACGTCCTCCCGCCAGTAAGCGCCGCGCCATTTATGGCGCGTCGCTGAAGACTCGCCTCGCCCCGCCCCCTCCCCTCCCCCCCCCACCTGCACCTGCTTCCCCTGCATCCCCCCCTTTCTTGCTGCAGCCGATGACTGCCATGTGAGGGACCTCTCCACCGCCGAGGAGACAGGACATGCCGCCGAGAGGGCGGGGGCCGCCGCACCAGCCTCTGTCGTTCGAGCCGCCGGCGCCGCCGCTGTTGCCGCAGGCCTGGAGCCGCCGCACACCGCCGCCGCCGCCGTCGTCGTCACTGTCGCTGCTGTCGCCATTGCCGTCTCAAGGGGCCGTGAGACCTACCCTCTTCCGGAGTCGTTGCGACTCCTGCTGGGAATGGGGGTGCTGGGCTAGGGGGTGTGGGTGTGGGTGTGGGGGTGTGTGTGGGCTTGACACTATCAAGCCTAGGGGGTGTGTTAAAATTATATAAGTTATAATTTAATATAGGCTTGGTAGGTTGTTACTGAACCTTTCTGTAGAGGGTACAAACCCCTTCTTGTACTCCTCTCTCTTCCTAATCAAACCACCTTTTCTTCTCAACATTCTCTCCCTTCCTAGATCCGTTTTCCTCACGCTATTCCATGGCGGCCTTCCTCCTAGTATCCTAGCCAACCTAGCCTCCTAAGTTTAAGAACCTTGAGTCATAAGTTTCTAAGAAACACTTCTACACCCGGATTTCACAATCATGAGCTAGTGCAAAGACTCAAGGGCGTGCTTTTAAATAATTACTTTTTGACACAAAGCTTGACGGGGTCATCATTTCTGGGATCCTAACCGTCAATCCCTGTGAAATTGATCCGACGGTTACTTTCTGTGTACTTGTAAGGAATTTCCATTCCTTACTGCGTCGTCCGCTACCGCGTACACCCGAACACTCCGCCTAGTCACGTTCGGCCTACATTTTCGGCCCAACCCTTTCTCGAGTCGCGCCCGACAGCGTCGCCACATTGCCGAACCTAACCACGTCCCGAGATTATCGCCCTATTATGTCTATTCCTATATAACCTCGTGTTGTCATTGCAATAGTGACGTTGTATTCTCATTATAGTACATTTACATCTTCTAAATCATAACAGTACTGTCCACCCTGAAAGGCGACCCAGGGTTACAGCAATAACTCACCCAGAGCTTTCCTTACCTCACCACCACTGGTCCAGCAAGGCAAGGCAGTTTGCTGTTCCTAAGCCTCCATGATTCCTCTCTTCCTCCGATTTGTAGAGCTCTGCTGTGGTGTGTGCTGTGCACACCCCGCCTGATCTGCTCCGTGCGCTCGCTTTGTTCCTTTTAGGTCGTGTCGTCCCTGTCGCGTGATTGGCGTGTTCGCTTGACTTGTGCTGCGCTACATTAGTCTCTCGTCTACCCGGGTCTCGGTCTTCTCTCTGTCGCATCCGTCGCCGTAGCAGGTCGCACAGTCGCGTCGCGTCGTCGTTCCGCTCATTTTAGAGGCGCTTCAAAACTCGTCTCGCTCGTCTCTCTGTCGCATCCGTCGGCATATCACATCCGAGTAGCATCTGTCGCATCCGTCGCCGTACCACATCCGGTTAGCATCTGTCGCATGCGTCGCCGTACCACATCCGACTAGCATCTGTCGCATCCGTCGCCGTACCACATCCGATTAGCATTTGTCGCATTTGTCGTCGTGTCTCATCACAGAGTTGCATTGTTTCATTCCTGCGTGGAGGAGGCCGTGCCACGTGCGATCGTGCCTTGAGAATCGCGCGATGCGTCACGTGTGATGTGTGATGTGGCATGCTGCAGGCAACGGTACAGAACTAGCGGAGGGGAGGGAGAAACGGAGACTCACACGGAGACTACGGTCCAGTACAGTACAGCACGGTACAGTACAGTACAGGGACGCAAAGCCTAGTCAGCATTTACACAGAGACTAGTACCGTACAGTAAACGGACGCAGACTGCCATTCTTTCCCTGCCATTCGACTCGGCAGTTTCTTTTTTCGACTCGGCAGTTTCTTTTTCGTCTGCCGCCGTGCGACTGGTTGCGCCATTATTTAGTCGACTCAGCGTGCCGTTTTTCGTCCGCCGCCGTGCGACTGATTAGTCTGATTGGCCGTTCGTCTGTCGTCATGCGACTGCTTAGTCTGATTGGCCGTTCGTGCGACTGCTTAGTCTGATTGGCCGTTCGTGCGACTGCTTAGTCTGATCGCCTGTCATGGGGGGCCTGTCGTCGCCATGCTCACACGCGCTACTGTACACTGAGCAGCTCATGAGTCAAGACGCAACGCAGCAGCATCGATCGAAAGCCGAAAGCCGTGAGTCGTCGTGAGTTGTGAGTCGTGACTCGTGAGTCCTCCTGACGTAGTGTCTTGACTCGGGGTTTGAGCCACCTCCCTCCAGTCTCAGGGTCTCTGAGCCATCTCCCCCGGATTAGGGTTTGGCTGAGGGTCTGATTGCCCGTAAGTCTGCCTCTGAAGGCGAACGTAACCTTTGTGTGGCTGGGATAGGTTAGGTTTTCCCCGAGCCAACCAGCCCCCGGTTCGGATGGTACTGTAGCACCAATAACAGGCTGGACTCTGGTCTGTCCGTCTCGGAAATATCGTAGGCACGTGGACGATTCTTATTAGTTCGACTCAAATCATTCTTCGAGCCGACTTTCCTTTTTTTAGGTCAGCTCAGGAGAGTCGTAGGCATCGGGGGGGCATTTTCGAGCCAAGAGCTCGACATACATGAGAGATGATTCCCGATCGTTACGCTGGGAAGCTGTTACTAGGATAAAAGTGACTGACTACCATAGATCCGTCGTCGTTTCGGATTCGATTGGGGATTCCGACAGATTCACCAGCAACGATCAGTGAGCCGTCGTTAGTCTGTAAGCGGTCGAGATTCCAATCAGACCGCCCCGTCGCTCCCATGTTTCCCCACCACGGCACTCCATCGCCAACCATCCCTCCATTCCTCTCCTCCTCCTCCTCCCCTTCCCACTCCCAAGCCTCAACCATGACCGCCGAGCCGCTCTCTCTCCCCGCCCTCCTCTCCCTCCCCGTCGAAGCCGTTTCCTCGAAGCTTCGCTCGACGCCGCCCGCGCATTTGGAGCATCTGCGCGTCTCGTTATGGGACATCCTCGGCACGCCCGACCGCAAGCCGGAGTTTCTTTCCCTCCAGCGCCTGCTTGTATCGCGTACGGGCGCCGGCGTGGGCCTCACCGCGGAGTCCCTCGCTCGCGCGCATTACACGCATCTTAAGATCCTAGTCGCGGTTCGAACCGGCATCCAGGCGTTTCTCCACCCCGATATAGCCATCCCGCCGGCGTCTTTAATCGAGATTTTCCTCCGCCGCCGCTGCCAGAACATGGCCTGTCAGAGCCCGCTTCCCGCGGGCGGCTGCCGCTGTCGGTTCTGCACGACGAGCAGCGGCGATCGGGGGGGGGGCGGGCGGACAGGGAAGGAGGGGGGGGGCGGCGCGAATGAGTTAACCTCCCTTGGTACTACCGCTGCTACTGCCGGTAGCAGCGCCGGTGGTGGTATTGGTGGTTCAGGTGGCGCGGGTGGTAGTAGTACTACTGCTGCTAGCACTAGTACGGAGATCGGAGCGGGGTTTTGCAATCTGTGCATGTGTGTGGCGTGCGGAAAATTCGACTTTGACACGAACACGTGTCGGTGGATCGGGTGCGATTTCTGCCTGCACTGGTGCCACACGGAATGCGCCCTTCATATGGGCTTCGTCCGCCATGGCGCAGTGGGGACCGGGGGAAGCGCAGGCGCTGCCGGGGGGAGAGGCGGAGGCGGGGGTCAG